AGGAGGCCGAGGCAGCCCAAGCTGCGGCTAGTATGGACTGCTATGACAATCCCCCGTGCGCAGCCAACGAAAGAGGAGCATGGGAACTGGTAACAGGAAGAAAACGAAACATTACTGAAAACAGGGATCCGAGGAAACAGAAAAAACAGGAAGTAGTGGTAACTACTAGCAATAGTTTCCAGGTTCTTTCTAGTACTAATGACCAATGTCAAACTTCTTCTGCTAATCCACCATCTAATAATACTAAGAATCCACCCCCAATCTACATCACCGGTGTCGAAAACTATGCGGCTCTTGTGTCATATTTACAATCCAATTCAGGACCAGATTCTTTTTTGCTAAAAACAACTTCTAAGGGAGTAACTATTTACCCCCAGACCCCAAACAATTACAGGCAAATAGTCAACTGCTTGAAAAACAGCGGAGCCGAATTTCATACCTATCAGCTTCCTGAGGATAGAAATCCTCGCGTGGTGATTAGAGACCTTCATCACAATACACCAATTGAAGAGATTAAAAAAGATCTTGAAATATACGGATACAAAATCGTAGGTATTACCACCGCCATCTCACGTTTTAAACGGCCACTACCTATGTTTTTTGTAGATGTAAGTAAGGAAACTTTCAATGAAAAAATATTCGATATTACTAAATTATTTTATACAAAGGTTACAATTGAAGAACTTAGAAGGAAGAAACATATACCGCAATGCGTCAGATGCCAACAATACGGTCACACACGATCGTATTGCAACCACGACCCACGGTGCGTCAGATGTGGACTAGGACATGACAGTTCCACTTGTAGCAAAACTAGAGAAACTCCAGCTAAATGCGCTAATTGTCTAGGCGAACATCCGGCCAATTATCGGGGGTGTCAAACCCTTAGAGATCTAAGGGCACAGAGGACCAAGAGGAATCATGCTCACCAGAGGGAATCACCTCCATCTGCAAATCTTCATAATTTCCCGGATCTTCCACAACCTTCGCAAAGCCCATATCAAGAGCAGAAGCGGAACCAGAAGCCTCATCAACAGCCCCAACAGCAACCTCCAGTGCAACACCAGAAGCAAATACAGAAGCAATCGCAACCGCAAGCTCAGGAACTGCCTCCATCATCAGTACTTCCAAACATTCAACCTTCAGCAACTATGAGGGGAAAAAGTACCCAGCTACCTTCAGCTGAAAACTGCATGTCTCCACAACTATTCCAGTTATTGAATGGTCTGAATACTCTCATTCAGCCCCTTTTTAGTCTCCTCCAACAGCTCTCACAGATAACACAAGGCATGTGTCTTCCTAATGGCCATTAATCAGCTAACTGTAGGCTCCCTGTCCATCCTTCTGTGGAATGCAAACGGACTAACGCAACATAGGACAGAATTGGACTTATATTTACACGAAAAACGCATTGACATCGCAATGATAACAGAAACACACTTTACACCACGAACTAAATTTCATATTTCTGGTTACAATACCTACAGAACAGACCATCCGGACAACACAGCTCATGGTGGTACAGCAATACTAATAAAGACATCATTATCACATAATCCCTTATACTTACCTACTACACCTGACATTCAAACCACAGGCTTAACACTACACACCAAACATCACACAATAACAATAGCTTCAGTATATTGTCCTCCGAGGTACGTATTAATACCTTCGATGTTTTGCAACTATTTTCGAAGCCTTGGGCGTTGCTTTATAGTAGGCGGTGACTTTAACGCAAAGCACCAATTTTGGGGGTCACGGCTGTGCACACCAAGAGAAAGAAATCTGAGGGCTGCTATCCACGAGCTTTCATTAGACACTATATCACCTGATACACCGACATATTGGCCGACTTCACTACGTAAATCCCCAGACCTACTAGACTTTTTTATAACCAAAGGACTGCGCACCATACCTTACACCATAAATACGAGCTCTGATCTTTGCTCTGACCATTCCCTTATACATTTGGTTATCCTTGATGAGCCCATCAATCTTCCACGAACACCTAAGCTCCTTAATGGTAAAATGGATTGGGATGCTTACAGGGAAATTCTGGATTCAGAACTTTCAATCCCTGGCTCCATTAAAACAGCAGATGAACTAGAAGAGGCAGTGGACAAATTTACAAAAAGTGTCCAAAAAGCAGCTTGGTCTTCATCGCTACCAAGATCATCAAGAGCAGAACACTTGCCAAGATATCCTCAATATATAAGGGACTTGATCACGGCAAAGAGGAGAGCGCGTAAGGTATGGCAGACTAACAGACTTCCCTCAGATAGACGGACATTTAACAGACTAAATAACGAACTTAAACGACTAATACAAAAATTCAACAGAACGAATTATGATGCTTATTTGAGCAGCATATCAACTGACGATGGAAGTTTGTGGAAGCATACCAAAAATTTGTTAAAACATCGAGAGGTGTCAGTACCCCTGCGAAACGAAGACGGTTCATGGGCTTTGTCGGATAGAGAAAAATCTGAACTATTTGCAGACCATCTTTCATCAGTATTTACACCATTTACCGACTTCACGAACACAGAACATGAAACCTTAGTATTTGATACTCTAGACATACCATTACAGATGACACCTCCCCCTCTTCCTTTCACTCCTTCACAAGTCGCACAACAAATCAGACATCTCCCAAAAAGAAAAGCTCCAGGTTATGACTTAATAACTGCCGAGGGTCTCCAGCAAATGCCTAGGAAAGCTCTAGTGTTCCTTACGACAATATACAACTGTATTCTGAGGACAACTAACTTCCCATTACAATGGAAATACTCACATATCAAGATGATACACAAAAGGGACAAAGACATTTTCAATCCCTCATCCTACCGACCTATCAGTCTCCTTCCGATTTGCTCCAAAGTTTTCGAAAAATTAATATACAAAAGACTGGTTGACATACTGACAGACCAACAAATAATACCTGACCATCAATTCGGTTTTCGTACATTTCATTCAACTACACACCAATTACACAGAGTTACTGACTACATTGCTGGAGCGCTAGAGCAAAAACAATATGCTACCGGCGTATTTCTGGATGTTGCCCAGGCATTTGATAAAGTCTGGCACCAGGGACTTCTCTTCAAACTCAAAACTATACTGCCTAATACATACTATCTCATTCTCCAATCTTTCCTTTTCGACAGATTCTTCTCTGTCCGACAGGGTTTAGAAATTTCCTCAATTCGACCAGTATCAGCAGGGGTACCTCAAGGATCAATATTGGCACCTTTACTCTACATTGTCTATACTCATGACATGCCTACCAACTCTGAAACATTGACTGCTACTTACGCTGACGATACAACAATTTTAACAAAACACCATGACCCCAGACTAGCATCATTAAATTTACAAAATCATTTACTAAATTTACAAAATTGGTATTCACTCTGGAAAATTAGATTAAATCATAACAAATCACAACACATAACATTTACGCTTCGACGAGAAACATGCCCACCAGTTTATATCAGCAACAATCCAATTCCTCAGACGGACAGTATACGCTACCTCGGACTAATATTTGACAGAAGGATGACCTGGGGCCCACACGTAAAAATGAAAAGAAAGAGTTTGAACAAGCGACTGAAAATACTGTACTCACTGTTTTCTAAATCAAAATTGAAAATTAGACAAAAACTAAATACATACACTTACCTGCTCAAACCCATTTGGACATACGCCTCACAGATTTACGGTTCAGCAAAAAAGACTCACTTACAAAAACTACAATCCTTTCAATCTAAAATTTTAAGACTAATAACTGCAGCTCCCTGGTACGTCAACAATAAGACTTTACATACCGACCTAAGACAACCAACCATTGACCAGCACCTACGTACTCTTTACTCCCGATTTCATCTAAAACTACACGGACATCACAATGGACTTATCAAAGACATGGCCACGGCTGAAATGCTCATCAGGAGGCGACTGAAAAGGAGCTGGATGAGAGATCTCCTTTCCTGATTTTAGGATATAAACAGGCCAGGGAAGAGGTGCTGCTGGGCTCCATTCTTCGTCATGCTTATCATGTCATTTTCAATTTAAACAGCGAATCTGCTAATTGTCACTACCATGACAGGTGCGGATGAAGATGTAAAGACAAAAAAAAAAAAAAAAAAAGTTTACATTTAGTAAGAAAATTTCATTTAATTTCCTTGAAACCACGTGATTTATGTTAAATAATGATAGTTTTTATGAATTATTCGATCTGAATAAGCATTTTTATTTTTGTATCCTTTATTCAATTATCAAAAGTTATATTTAGCATTTTTTCGTAACTCTTGGTAATTCGAGATGATTAATTATTTAAAATAAACCATATTAAAGGTACTTTAGAGGAAGACGTATACGAACATTGGGCCTTTAAGCCTTGTAAAGTGACATCAATGGGGACAAGACCTAATTGATATTAAAAGCGTTAATATGAACTGGCACTTCCGGTTAGACGATTTAAAGGAAAAAGTTGCTGTCACATCTAAGGCATATACCTATGTTAAATACGTAATATTAGTTTCGTACGTATCAATTTCGTTTTTGAGCTAGACTGCTAACACACACACACACACACACTGACACACAAACCATTTTGCGGGACTTGGTTGTTTGGACTCAGGTTACCTCAAAACGTGTATTTCCGTTGAAAACTCAGATTCGAAAATTTTCACGATCGCAATAATTTTCTTTATTATGTATTATATATATATATATATATATATATATATATATATATATATATATATATATATATATATATATATATATATATATATATATATATATATATATATATGTATATATATATATATATAAGCAAGTGAAAGTAAAAATATCATCAACTTTTTTTTTTACGGACTTTTGGACTAATAAGAAACACATCAAAGAAAGGTTGATAGCCGCTAATGACCCGCTCGGGCAGATGCGGAATGTAACAATAAATAAATAAATAAAGGTTGAAACAAAGAAGAAGATACAAATAAAATTTAATGTATTTGAAAATATAAATAATCATCATAGGTAGTAAAAAATAAGTTTTTTAAAATAAAATTATTTTTTTTACAAATAACAATTCTTAAATCTAATTATATTTAATCTCTTAACAATATTAATTAATTTATTTTAATAAACATCACAATACTTACATATTATTTAGAATAAACATAAAATTTTTAGTTTTCACTATAGGAACTTAGTCAAAAAAAAAACTTGTAACCTGTTACCAATATCAGATACAAGACACCTTTGGAACTATTCCAGATAGGCAGTGAGGTGTACTCGACCTTTGCTAAGCGTATTTATGCTATAATAATGTATGCATTTATGCATTTACGGAATCTCATGGACTAATTGTTTAGAAATATTTTGACCAATTATACCTCATCTGATAAAGCTAAATCGTTTTATTATTTAAAATTGTTGTTAAATAGTTTATTGGCCGATATTGAGCATTATTAGATTGATTTACAAGAAAAGTTACCATATATATATATATATATATATATATATATATATATATATATATATATATATTCAAGATAAAAGAAGAAACAGTGATATAACTAATTATATATTCATTTCGATTAATACTGCTTTTTACTGCCACATTAATTGAAATCTAATAATGAGGCAATTCTTTAGGTTGGCTGCTTTTTCCGAGATAAATAAAATAAATAAATAATAACTATCAGTAAATAAACATTCGTTCATCATATACATTTAAATATAAATCTCGGACTGAAGCCCACGAAATCCAAGCTAAATACTAAAGCAATCACAATATATTCTGTTTGTTAAATTTTAATGCATATAAAGCGGCTAACTATAATAGTATCTCTATAAAAAATCTAAATCTTTATAAAAAGTATCACTAATAGTATTTTTTTCGAGAAAATATCTGTACTATGTAATGATAATTGTTTAATGTAGTGTATTAGATACATTGTATATGACTATTTTTTATTAAAAATGGGGGAAAATGTTTATATAATAATGGAATATAAGAGTTAAGTCCATATGGATTGATTAGCATTTCCCAATTGTCTAATTTCATTTTTTTAATCGGGCTTAAGAATCTCTTGAACATCATTTCATACGAGTAGTTAGTTTCATTCTTCCAAAGTAATGTGTATTTGTATAATGCTTTCGGGCTGGAGCCCTCTAAATGAAATTCTGAATCCGCTACCGCCTCAAATCAATTAACATGATAAACAAGTATAAAATTTATATCTTTTTATCAGTTAACCTACCATTTATTTTAGTGGTAGAAGCACCAAGGACACATAATCTGTTCTCTCAAATATTGATAATCTCATAACAATATTAATTACTCTAAAGGACAATGCGATAAACAAATTCTCAACAAAGGTACTCGTTTAACTATATCTTACAACCAGGAATGCTAGAGGTTTTGTCAACACACAGATACTGCGTAGGATCGTATGCCTGACCATTCGGACATTGTTTTTTCTCCTTCGTGAAGTAAGTAATCGACTCTGTCAAAAATACTTGCGTACATTTGTAGTAGAAGCGACAGTCAGAGAGATCAGGTAACAGGCCGTTGTAATGACACGTGGCTTCACACATCTGGCTGGTTACATTCAGCTCGTACGGCGTGGGACATGAGTCAATGACAATTGGTTCTTTTTCACCACAGAAAGCGAAAAATCTGGGATCTAAGGGGTGGGGGATCTTCATTCCGAGATTGTTCAAGCAGGAAAACGATTGGCATGGAACGCTGTTACTGCATCTCCCCATCGTAGGGTCGTAATGCTCGCTCGAATTGGCGCAGCTTAATGTAATAGAAGTCAAGTTAGAGCAGATGTGGTATTTATCACAGTCTGTGTCTGGGAACTTCCCATCGTGGGTGCAGTGGAAGTCATTTTTCTTACCGCAGCCTAAGCTCTCCTCGGTGCCACAGGTTCCTGTTTTCGGATTGCAGTAGGGGGTGTCATCAGAACAAGACAAATCCTTAAAGTGCACTAGGCCATTGATAGTTGGCCTGCATATCTGGGCTGTACTGCAATCGAGGCAGGAAAATATCTTGCTGCAGCTGTTGGTATAAAGGTTTTTAACGCTGTTTGAAAAACTTCCAATCAAATTTGTGAAGTTTGATGGTGGCGTCGAAACGCAAGTTCCAGTACTTCGGTCACAGTATGGTCTCTGCTGAGAACAGTTGATATCCCTCAAGAACTCGAGCTTTCCTTTGGCGTCGGTTCTACAGATCCTGGCTGTGTGATAATCAGCGCAAGAATAAGATGAGTCGCAAATGCTCGATTTGAAAGTTAGTTCCTTTGGCAATTGTCTTGTATGGCCTGTCACTTCCAAGAAGACCTGTAAAACAATAAAGTATGTAACTAACAGTTTATAATTGTCCCCATCATTCTAATTTACAGATTCGAGCTTTTAAAGCTGATTTTGTTGTTTGCACATTAATTCACACCAAAATAAATAACGTCAATGTAAAAAATGTTACTTCTGTGCTTGGATAATTTTAAGAAATCTTGAATAAATTCAAAATTACTTTGTCGACATTTGCAAAAATAAAATAACCTACTGGGAGAGGTTCAATGTTATCTCTTTTTATTAATAAAAATGTAATAATATGTAAGATATTTGGAAGTATGCATTATCATAAATGCAAGGTATGTTTTTTCTTACCAGCGATATAAATTTTAAAAAATATGATTTTAGCTAAATAATCTAACAATAAGGTACTAACCTACACGTGAGGGAAGCTTAATATAGATTTTACCGGTAGTATTTATAACAAGAAAGTGGCCCAAAATGAAACAATGTCATATTTATCAGCATAAAAAATATTTGCCGGATTTCGTGATTATTCTAGGAGAAAATTGTAAAAATTGTGTTCATTTCTATATTTGGCAATGTAAACATCATGGATAAGTTAGTTTACAATATTATTTATCTTTCGTAGATAACGAGTTTCATAGCTTCCTATTGTGCATGTACGTATGTACGTTTCAGAACAAAACTTTTTAAATATGGCAAAAACATCGACTCTCTACATCTCAGTTGTAGCGTAATAGAAACCGTCGAGCACGGTGGTGAGGGACAAAATGTTGAGGGAGATAGAGATCTATATTCTGACGGACTCCTAGTACCCACAACTGATCACTAAACTGAACCAACCGCAATTTAAAACCTTGTGTGACAATAAAGAACGAATAAGAGCAGGACCACACGGATTATAATATAACAAGATCCACTAGCATCATACTGATGATGTTAAGCAGGCGTGCGTATTATCTGAGTTCTGCAAACGCCCGTATTGCCTTAAAGACAGGGTACGGTAGTTAATAAAATAAAGCAATACGCAATTATATTGAAGAAAGTTCGAGACTGGTTGAATTTATGAATGCTGAGCTAAATAATTCTGTGGACAGCCATTCTGTATTTTATTTTATAGATTTTGTTATCATCGCAAGATTTTTTTAAAATAAACTATTTTATTTAAAAATATAAATTTTAGTATTAATATTATATGAAGTACTTCGTTATTTTTCTGGTCATTAAGACTTTTAGTTAAATCATAAAATCTGCCACAATGACAAAAACGTTCTATTTCAAGTTCGGGTAAAAATTGAACGTAACAATTTATATTAATGATATTATATTATACCATTTATATTATAATATTAAATATCCTTTATTGTGGATCAGAACAAGTCGACTTTCCCAATACCCAAAATTAACTGGTTAATAATAAGATAATAAATATATATATATATATATCCTCAACAAACTTAATTTTATTTTGGGACTAAAGGCCTCTAGGAATAATAGCAGAGTTCAAACATATGTATATCCGTCTGGCATGTAGATGTAATACAAATACATTCTAAAAATACTAGGAAAAAAAATGAATAATATATATATAAATTGATTTTGGTTGATTTCTTTTAAGTATATAATTTTTATATAATACGAATATGAAATGTTGAATGTTTTCTTAATACTTATTATCTATAAATTTATGAAGATACATCAGATATTAAATTGATTAAATACTTGAAAATCATCCAATGATCTATATTTTCCCAAAACCAACTATGAAGATAGTTACTTACAAAAACAAGAAATCGATAAACATTGTCATAATTTTCGATTTTTGTTTTCATTTTATCATCGAATGCCCAAGGTGACATTATCAGCCAATCAGCAGACAAGTAGCTCCTCCCACCAGGAAATAATGCACTTATTTTTCTAATTATAGATAAGTGGAACTTTAAGCAGACATTAGATAATAAGTGAAGAAATACAAGACAAAATAAAAATAAATAGGAGAGTAAACTTATAATAAAACAAACTATTGAATACTGTTCAAAGAATGAACTTTTCCTGAAGGAGTTAGGTACCTACATATTTCAACTCATTTTACGACAGTAATAACAAAAGAAATTATCATCAGCAGTCGGCAGTCGAACAGATTCTGATAGGGTCTATCCTCTATTTGATTGACTGGGAGGAAGTCACTTATGTGGTCTTGTCCGATAGTAGATTTCAATTGCCTCCTGGCGACGGAAGAAGTAAGAAGTTTTATAGAGCAAGAGGTTCAAAATTTTTGAGGAGGCACATTTTTAAAATTTAATGAATTTTTGTGTGGTCTGAATATTTTAGGATTTCAAACCACGGAACGAAGGAGATGGGAATACAGCTTTTACACTTTTATTCTGATTTACAATGATTTTAAAAAAAAGAGAGCCTGAAAATAAAGTTTCATATATTATAATTCAGCAATAAATGGACATGTGCCAATAACTGACATCATCCTTGGGGGAAGATGGGAGAGGGTGGAAAGATTGAGCACTCTTGTTTTTACAACCTCACCCAAGACCAAGACCTGGAGACCACTGGAGTCTATCATATCCCATTTTCCTCTTGATACAAAAGAAAGCTATCAGCCTCTGTCCATTGTTGTGTTGTTTCTATTTAATAAACAACTTATTTAAGTCAAAGGAAATCTTCCCAACAGCCTCTCACAATACATTGACCAAGCAGGCCAATGTATTGTTTCAGGCCAATAGCGTCAAAAATTATAAAATATTATATATTTTTAATGCATAGTTTTTACTTTTTGTAAATTAAATTAAAAAACAAAACAAAGACATACATTCTTTATTAATTAAAAACTTTTAGGAGATAATGTATAAGGTCCCAATAAGTAAAGGGGTATAGGTGACAAAAAATAGTTTTTGAGTAAACAATAGTTATGGATACGATTCCGCTGTAACTGAAAAGTGCTTTTCTACACTGCCACAATTTCTTCTACATAAGAGTTTCAATCTGTCTAAATCCATTCTGACGGTTGAAACCAGGATACTGTTTTTAATTTTACTGTCGATAGTTTTTAGTTCTTTAAGTAAACGTTTTAGAGAACTTGTATATTTTTAAAACTTTTATCTAAAAGTTCTGTCGATTTCATTAAAAAGTCTATCTGAAAATTGACTTTTATTCTAAGATACCCAAACAAACGACACATAAGAATCATGTGCGATTCATTGAAGAAAATTTTTAACTCTAATTTCAGTCCAATTACTGTTTATCTTTCATTTAATGGATTTTTTTTTTATTCAGAACTTGAATAAATAAAGGTTAAACTTTTATCATATACCTGGAACTTTATTACAAAAAAGTTCCATAGAACTTTGTTTTTAAATACGTTTTTCCTAAAAAGTTTCAAGGAACTGTCAAAATGGAAATTTTTAAAAGTTCCATAAACATTTCAATCCTCCGGTTGAAACGGATTTTTACCAAGTTTGAAAATGTTTTAAATTACTTTTATAATGGGCAGTTGCGCTTATATCCTTTCACAACCGACAAAATATATTTTTGACTCTAGCATGAAAAAAAACTTTTGATGCCTAAAATCATTCTTGGTCTTGCACTTTGCAAATGTTTAATAAATAGCATTAAGCTGATAGGTAACTGCAAGAATCTTGCGAAATTCTTGCGCAAGACCGAGACTGAGTGCACAAGACCAAAACACGTCATGGGAGACTTGATCTTGCATTTGGACAGCACTACAAAAAACTGAGATTATGATTCACGTTTCGTAAAAAAAAAAATGAATCTAATGATATACCATTTAAGCTGGTGAGGGACTTATATATGGTTCAAAATCAATTCTATAACATTTAAAGAAGGGCCGCGGATGTAAGATTTGTAATTTATCTATATAAGAAAAAAATGAAAACAATTTTATTCTGGTACGAAGTTCCTTTAGAATATTATATTATTTCAATCCTAATGACCTTTGGAATTTATGAAGTTCGTTAATATTATGATAAAAAAAAAAAAAAAATGATACCATTCTATATCCTGCTGTCTGACAATACCCGTATTTTCAGAAAAAATTAATACTACATATACTTTTTATTGATTTAAAAAAAATGACAAAAAATATGATTCATGAACTAAAAATAATGATATATTTGATTTATGAATTTCGTTAATATTAAAATGATAAACAAAAAAAATGATATGATTCTATATCCTGCTGTCTGAAAATACCCGTGTTTTCAGAAAAAAATATTGCGACATATACTTTTTATTGATTAAAAAAAAAAAGGCAAATTAATGATTTATGAACTAAAAATAATCATATCTGGGATTTATGAACTTCGTTAATATTACAATGATAAAAAAAAAAAAAAAATGATATGATTCTATATCTTGTTGTCTAAAAACATCCATGTTTTCAGAAAAAAAAATATTGCTACATATACTTTTTATTGATAAAAAAAAAAATTGCAAAAATAATGATTTATAAACATTTTTTGTGTAGAGTGATAACAAAACTGTACTTTTCTCTCATATCTTCTAATAGGAATTGATCCGTATTTATAAGTGACGAACTAAATGTTCCTAATACTAATGTTTAAGTTTTCATGAAAATAATTAAAGCGATCAGCAGGTTTCGTTATTTTAAACATAAATATTAGGACTAGAAATATTAATGTAGTTGAGCTTTTAACAATGATACAATCTAATTTCATTTGAAGTAAATTTTGTCTAGTTCACTGAGGAGCTATTATAATTACTTAAATTAAATTCTTTATTTTAAGTATATCCTTAAGAAAGAATGCTCAGCAAATCTTCCGGAAAATCTCTAAGAAAGGATGGCGGCAGATCCATCCAAATGGCAAAGAATAATATGGGAGGACACTATTAAGCAGTGGAATCGACAGCCTGTAACTAATCATAAAGGTTCTACCTTGAGGAAATACTTTCCTGTCGTCTATTCAAGGTTGGAAGCGAAATGGATCCTCCCTGATTATTTGGTGTCCCAATTCCAGACGGGTCATGGTGGTTTTCACACCGAGCTTCATGGCTTTGGAAAAGAAATTGTCCCTATGTCCTTGTTGTAGTTTTCCGGAAACTGCTGAGCATATCGCTACAATTTGCACCGCTTTTGAAGAAATAAGGGCCAAACTACTGAGGGAAACCGGGCGCTACATCATCACGCATGACAATTTCCCTCAGCTAGTAAGTAAAGATCAAGAGAACTGTACTACGAAGCATTCGTGTACTGATGGAAGTAATTAGTGGGGAATGATCACTTCAACCTCCTCTAACGAAGAAAAAAGAACCAAAAGAAATGTGGTAGAGGTATCAACTACTTCTACCAAAAATCTGTATTGCCGAAAGGCAAGGAAAGATGAAAATAAAATAAGTAAAATACTTTTTTATTTATTGATTTCTATTTAACATAAATCCGTGATTTATTAAAAAAAACAAAAACAATTCTCTACTTTCCTGCTGAAAACCGAATCATTGTTAATAAGGACTTTTTTGAAGTTCTAGATGTAGACTATGAGCTCTTTAACTATTTCTCTCAACATAAGGGACACCCTGTATACTCAATTTGGATGTGTTTAAAATAGCTAGGTCTAATAGCCTTGCCACTAGATAACCGCAATATATTGTGGCTCCTATGACTTTTATTCTTTCTAAAGGAAATTTTCTGATGTAAGTTAAAAATAATCGAAAACATGAGATTCATTTTAGAAGGATAGATAATTAAGATAGCTAGAATATACTTCTCACCTTACAAACATTTGATACTTCAGAATATGAATGTGTTTTCAATTATTTTGAAATACAAATTTCATCATTTTAGATAGCTTTCATGGTATCAAAAATACTTGTGAATCCTCAACGAAACAATAACAAATCGTTTACAGGGTGTGTTCGCAAATATTTATGTTTAAAATAGTAAAAAAAAAAAACGGGTCCTAATGATCTTGATTTTGTACTACTAAAAGGTCACAACTACAACGATAGGTCAGTTCAAAAATAGTAAAAAATGCTTAGTTTATCTTAAAAAACAACTTTTACGAATCATTCTTGGTATCAATCACCTCGTCATCTTTAGCAAGTTTCATAAATGAATCCCTTATACACAAAACAATATGAAATAACATTAAGCATAGAAGCATTTAAAGAATAGCGATGTAAAGTAATATCCCATGTTTAGTCATTTGTTGCGAAAATGTGTCGCATTATCTTGAGATGTGCTTGTTATACATTATAATATTAATCGTAAATATAACTCACATCAACAGAGTAGTCAAATTAGAATTCAAAATAAGTGATTTTCTCCTTTACGAATTCAACCGTAAATTCATCTTTCCTCTCTGAGTATTATTAATATTGTTTTCATATTTCTTTTTAAAGTTGTTGAAAATCCATTGTACTTCAAGATAATATCACGTTTAAAATTTAAAAATATTATTGGAGAATTAATGAAATAAAAACAACAACAAGAGTAATGGTATAACGAATCGGAGCACTTATTCCTGGAAAACGTATTTATGAGCATTGCAATTACATAGAGGATTTAAATCACTTTATCAGCACTTATCTATCTTGTTTAATGATAAACTAAATCTCTGCCCGGAAATGGGAGTTTAGTTCTTGGTACAAAGGTCGTTATATCACTCCAATCAACACAAAATACTTACTAATGTTAATAATGTTGCGAGGAACAAAGGCTTCATCTTGGACTAGGGATATGAAGTGTAGGAGGAAAGAAACACCTGTGGAACCTAATCGCGACAGTTACATATTTATAGCTATAATCTTCACAATATTAACTGTGAATTACACTTCGATAATGTACGTTCAATATTGTTTACTTGCTGTTGATGAATTTGAAGTGTTTGCAGCAGATTGGTGACAGCACGGCATGATTGGCATCAAGCATTAAATATTGAAATTGTTTTCCCTAAAATAATGCGAAATTATAACACCTTGCGTCATCTTCTAAACTTAGACCCGTGAAGGGGTTAGCCCCTAAAGATAATTAATAAAACTGTAATATATTTCAGTAGCAACAACCTGTGTCATCAACCTGTGAAGAAAGAAAATAGCCGGCGATTTTTCTTTTCACTGGCTTTTAGCATTCATGGTATACAATTTATAGCGTAAATATTTATACAACATTGTAGTGTGGAGGAGGTGGGAGAAGTTTGCTTATATTTTTTTAAACTTTTTTTCTGATTCACAGGAAATAGCCGAGTATTGACAATCACGTTCCCTTCCAATTACACAAGTATCCCGACCTCTAGAGTTTAGGTTAGGTCTTTTTTTGACTAATAGATTTTTTAAATTATTGTACCTACGTTTTTTTAAAGTATATTTTACTTTATTTTTCCCGGACCTAGAGCCATTGCCTAGCATTGAGAAAATATACGAAATCAAGAGACTGAACAACACTATCGTGAAGAGTGAGAAGCCATACCCAAGAGGGAAATCTTGCAGTGCCACAATTTCCAGGAGAAGACTTATTTGCGTGAAATGTGGTGAACAAAACAAATCAGTGCACCAAACCTATACACTTCAGTACTCCCAGGGCTAGTTAAGATGGCTCTTCCCCTCCTTTGGAAGACAATATTTCCTAGGTACGTTCCTCTATCAAATCATCAACAATTATCGTCCTTCTTACGCCTGCAACCTTCTCCAATTCAAGTCCTCAGTCCATTCCCTTTCAACAAGATCTCGACCTTCTGACCTCTACATCCCATCTCACAGATCTGCCTCATTTCAGAATTCCTTTATAGCTCACGCTATCAATTTCTGGAATTCTCTACCTATCAAAATTTGGCATTCCCCCTCCATATCCACATACAAATCCTTCCTATTCCAATTCCTATCCCAAAAACAGTCAGATACTTGCTAAACTTCCGATATTATACATTTCTAGTAATCATCAAACGATAGTACTATTCTATACTGTGAACTTCACTAGGGATATTACAATATCTTCCTGCTCTTAATGCCACTGACCGCATCTATTGTTTGTTTTATTTTTTTTTTTATTGGTATATAATTAAATTTGTACCTATAGCTAGCATTTGACAATGATGAGTCTACATATTAATCATTATTTAAATACATTGATATTTTATATTGACAGCTTTGTATTTTCTTTGTTAGCAGAAACACACCTCATTTTAAAGAAGAACTCAATCTATTTTTTATTATTTTATCTTTCAAAAGAGTATAATTATAATTTTTCCTACTGTACATAGTCTTAAGTGTTTTATCATAGTTTTAAGTGTATTGCATATAGATTTTTTTTTTTTGTATATAGCTTGTTTAACTAATATTTTCTTTACTTTTTTCTTTTTTATTATTGTTTTATTTTGGCCAGATATAGTATTTTAATTATGTTCTATTTTGTTATTCTAAAGGGACTTTGTCCCAGAATAAAGTTATTTTCTATTTCTATTTCTATACAAGATCCTGCAGTTTGTACCATATGCCTAGAGGGCACCCGGCCAACTACAAAGGCTGCCAAACTTATAAGAACCTCAAATCCAGATACCAGAAGAACCGGATTCAAGATGAGACCACCAGACCAAGAAGAGAACCTTCTAGAATTGTTAATAATAATATATCATACTCTGAACTACTTGGAGGTAAGAACCCAACTAATACATGTGAAGCCTTCCGCAGCAACTACCTCAACCTCAACCTCAATATCCTGTCCATCCTAACATACTTAACCATCATTTATATTTTCTGTATATATGGTATGAATGTGTTCATATATCACTATAATTATTGTCCACGTGACAGATTGTTATATTTCTAAATAAATAAAAAAAAAAGTGTAGTTTAAGTTGGCATCTCGCTTTCTTAAATTATAACATATAAAGATGAATCCGTGGGCTGTTCGCCCACATATCCTTGAACCTCTAAATTAATGTCAGCTTTATGGGGTAAGATGCATTGGAAGAGCGAAACTGAGGTGAATAGACGGCTTGGAAGTAAAGGGAAAAAAAAAAAAAAAAATGTGGACATCAAACCTGCCGTTCTCCTCACCTACCGTCATGCTGGTTCCAATGTTCCAATCAAAGGTTATTTCTGGCTTGAAAACTGATCACGTTACACGAGGGCAAGTTTTGAGAAGCGTACTTTCTTCTATCACACATATTTCGAACAAATTTCCAAACATCTTGCGCTGCTTTTCTTCTAAAACATGTCCATTATTAAGCAGTATTATGAGTACAATCTATCTATCGGGGTCCCGGTCAACGAGGTTTTTCCCCATCATCCCTATCTTTTCAAAATTCTTAATCAAGATCTACATCTCCAACAGTGTAATTTCCTGTTTTAAACTAAGTGTTTTGGTTATTCAACATATTGAACATCTATCTCAGCATTTGTTCCAATGGGTCTCAAGCTCCTAGAAAAAAATTATTTTATTTTTTATATTATTATTTTTGCACGAATTTCAAATTTATTATATACCAAAAATTTTTTTTATCTAAAAAATAAAAAATATTACCCTGGTGTTCAATAAAAAATTCCAAGGCATAAGACATTATAAAAATTAAAAGATGCTTTCTATAAAGTACGACAAGTTAATTTTCGATATGAAAAAAGTTTCGTCCTTCAAAACATTTAAAAACAAAAATACTAAAAAAAAAAAAATATATTTTGGATTATTATATTTACATTTGATACATTTACTTAGTTAGCCCCATAACACTGCTCCGCGGTAGAAGAGGGCAATATTAAGAAGAAGAATTTACTTAAGTAACAATTTTACTTATTTTACCAGACAAGTGTATTAGAAGAAGGCAATTGTGCCCTACACTTATTTCATTTTGTTTACTCTGTATTTTGTTTTATTTTTTTTAATTGGCTTGCGGCTTTACATTAGCTTTTATATTTTACTTTATTAGGTTTATTTTGTTTTATTTTTATGTAAGATCCTTTTGCTTCTGCATTTGTTATAGAACAGGTATACTACCAGCCACATATACCGAATCTATTTTATAAACAACATGTACAAGATTGTTTATAAAATATTTTAGTTTACAAATATTTTTGTTTATAAAATATTATAATAAGGTGTATAAAAAAATGATAGGTTTTCAAGCAAATATTTGTATTATTATTTCTTTGATATAAAACACAATTAATACTCAAAGTACAGTCCATTGTTATCTACCGTCATTAGCCATCTGCTAGCCAATTGCTTGATTCCACGCTGATACCATTCTTTGGAATTGCTGTCAAAGAAGTCTTGGACAGCAATTTCAACTTCCAGAAAATTATCAAATTTTTCCCTTGAAGAAAATAGGCCATGTATTTAAATAAGTAGTAATCCGATGGTGCGAGGTCTGGACAATATGGTGGATGATGCACGAGTCTCATATCAGAAGGTTTTTCAATAAATTTTCACAAATTTCTAACCTCTTAGCTGATTGCTGAGGAGTAAATTCGTGAGGGATAATTCTTCTAATCTTTTTTGCCTTTTCCATGGAAAATAGATGGCGACTAACAATATCTTTCGACACACCACACTTCCTGACAAGTTTTCGAGTACTTGTGGACGGATTTGACTCAACAGATTCTTACAGAACCTCGTCAATATCTATTCATGGTCTCTCGGAGTGCTTCCTTTCCAACTTCCTATCTGAACTGCTATTTTTTTATATTTGCGCTGGTCAAGGACACCTTCCCCTTTATATTTAATAATTTCACGAGTTATCAAATGTGATTTTTTTTTTCTATTAATGCCTTAAAATTACGAGAACTTCATAAGACACAGTCATGTTTTTTCTTTGGAGCAAATATCTAAACTGAAGCTTTTTTTTAAGAATTCAAATGAGATTAAACAACCTTAGAGAATGTTCTCAAGGGATTATTAAGTATTGGAAAGTATTAAATATGTTTAAAATGTTTACAGCTCTTTGAAATCTTGAATTTGATGAAACAGTTTTTTTTTTTTTTTTATACCCCCTATTAAAACAATCTTTTGGAAATGGAACAAAACTCCACATATTTTGTTGAAAATAGTTCAAATGTATAAAGAGGTTTCCTTGCAACTGAATTTATAAAATCACTTTTTTCTGTGATATTTCGGAGCAGCTTAAAGAGTATTTTGTGTATGTATTTTTCATGGATAAAAATTGGTAACTAAAAACTAGAATGACTGTCAACTAATCGATATTTTCCTTAACATATCTTGTTCTGCCAAATAGTGGACCCTCACCTCAAAATATAAGAGATTGATGGGCTCATTCCATTGATGAACAATCTGAAAACGTAATCTCGTGTCAATAAATATTGACTAAATGAATAAAATTCTGATCTGACAGCTACACATCTTAATATGTACTGTTGAAAACGGTTTGGTGATGGAGAGGAAATATGTACACATACTACTGAACTCAATTTCAAAACAATTTTGAAAACTCGAGTTCAAAGAACTATAACTTATGACCGATAATCGATATTTTCCTTAATATCTCTTGTTCTGCCAAATAGTGGACCCTCACCTCAAAACAAAAGAGGTTGATGGATTCATTCCATTGATGTACAATCTTTTTTTTTTAAATCTATTTATTGAATAATAATACAATCAGCCACTGCTGGAGGGCTATAAGCATTAGGGCTAAAAGTTCTCATTCATACAATATATACAAATAAAGAGAAATAAATATAAATATAAAATTAAATAAATAATACTGATGAAGAAAATAAAAAAAAGAAAAAAAAAAGTAAACAATAACATGAAATAGAAACTTCT